TCCAACAGACAATACTGTACTACCTCCTACAAACTCCCCCAAACACAAGTATCTACTTACTTGCATCCACTGTCCATATACTCTGTTTTTTTTCCTGTTATTGTGCATGAACTTTCTATTCTCCTGGCTAAGAATAATTATTCCCTTTGTGCAGATGATTCCATCCCTTCTTACCCACCAAGAACTTCAGTCCAGCAATTTGCCATTTCTCTACACACTCATTTCCATCTCTATCAAAACAAAACTTTGTCTGACCCCACTTCTGCATGCAGTTACTAACCATTTCTTGCTTTTCAAAAATCCTTGAAATAACTGCCTATATCATCTTTTCTCCCACTCCCTCTTAAATCTACTCCAGTCAGGTCTTTTCCTCTCTTCCAAACTCCACCATGACTTTACCAAGACTACTTTTGTCAAGATTTCCAATGACCTCCTCATTTAAAAAATCAGGTTTTAGTGTTACACATACTTTGACTCACTAGCAGCATTTTCCTTTTGAAATACTTCATTCTCTTGCTTTCCAGAACATTTGCCTGGTCTTCCTTCAAATTTTTAGTTACTCTGTTCTTTGCTGTTTCTGCCACCATTCTCTGACCTCCCTGACCTCTTGGAATACCCAAAGGCTAAGTCCTTAGACCTCTCCTCTGTCCTACCTATATTCCTTCCTAAGCAATTTTATATAATCTCCTGTTTTAATTATATATATATATATATATATATATATATATATATAATGTTAAAATGTTTTGACTAAAAATATTTTAACATTATAATTCATATCTTTCCCTGAACACCAGACAAGTATATCCAACACCCTATACAACATCCAAAATTTAGCATGTCCAATTGAATTCATGATGTATACCCACAACTTATCCCTCACCAGTAACTTTCAATCTTTGTTAATACCCAAGTCTTTCTCATCTCAGTTGATAGTTATTACATTCTTCTAGTTGCTCAGAACTCAAGCTTGGAATTAACATTTATTTTGTCCTGTTTTAAAACCTGACATCTGACCACCAATTCCCTTTGACTTCATCTGTTATATCTTCTTCACTTAGCTGTAGCCACAGTGGCCTACTTACTGTTCCTCAAACACTTAGATCAAACCTCTGTAATTAAGATATTTCCACCTGGAAATCTCATTCCTCAGATACCAGCATTTCCTTTTTCATTTTCCTTAAAGTCTTTGTTCAATACTTGTTCTCCTGAGTACTTATCACAACCAACATGCTATGGTTTTTATTTGTTTATCTTATTTGAGTCTCCTCCACTGAAATGTGAGCCATATTATAACAATGATTTGGTTTTTGTTCACTGTTATACTCCTAGCAAAAGGAACTGTGCCTATCAGATGGTAGGTGATTATAGGTATTTGGTGAATGAATGAATGAATGAATGAATGATGGAAAAGGGAGAAAAAGCAACTGCAGACATAATTAAATGAACAGAAAGTCTAAGAAGTCACTGGGCTTTTCTAACTACCTAAATGGTCTTTATTATATTCACAGCAATTGAGAGAAAATAACTTTTCATGATGTTAGAATATAATGAAAAGAAAGTTTTCTTGAAAATTAGAAGTATAACCACTCTAACTTTTAAATCAATTGAAGGGGGAAAAAAGCAAAACTGAAAAATCTCATAGAACCTAGAATAAAAAAGGAAAAGATGGGGGCTGGGGATATAGCTTATTTGGTAGAGTGCTTTCCTAGCATTCACAAGGCCCTGAATTCAATCCCCAGCACCACCACTAAAAAACAAAAAGGAAAAGATGGAAAGAGAGTGAGACAAAGCGAAGCAGAAAACCAGTCCCAGAAAGAGAAAGGGAAGAAAGAAATAAGGAGAGAAAATTATTAAGGAATTCTTTTTAACTTTCTTATTTTAAAGGAGGTTCTTTAAATTCAATATCAAGCAAAGAAGTGGAAAGAAAACCCACATCTAGCCACATGACAAAATTCCTAAGACAGGAAGGATAAAGAGAAGAACACATACACTTTCACTGAGGGAAATATTTTTTATTTAAAAAATTTTAAAAGAACAAAAGGACAATAATCAGACAAGCAGCAAACTTGTACCTGCTGTCCAAAGTAATCAATGCAATTTTTTTAGATCTTAAATGTTTTTCTTTTTTAAAGACATAAAACCATAAAGATATATTTGTTACCCTCTAAATTACCTTTCCCAATTCTACTGACCATAGCTCTTAAGGAAAGTGACTTTTTAACCTAGAATTCCATGTTCAGCTAATTATCAACCAAACATGAAGTTACTTTCAAATAGTCAAGGACTCAGGAATTTTACTTCCTAGGTACCTATTTTGAGATAATTATTTGAAGGTGTTCCTCAGCAAAATCAGGATATAAACTCAGAGAAAAGAAGATGTGGAACTAATTTAGGAAGGATGAAATCCCAAGATAGGACATGTGCAATAGCTCAAGAAATTCACTAACCAGAGGGAACCAAGAAAAATGCTTCCAATAAGATACAAATGTATACCAAGCAGTAGATGAAGAGACTAAGGAACTACAAAATTTGGTCACCCAATAAGGAAATCATATTTTTTCCTCAATAAGAAAAAAATAAAAGTAATTATAAACTTCAGGAAAACAACATCTGGATACCCATAGTCCAGATAGAAAGCAAACTAAAATGTGACATTATTTGGAACAAGTGATAAACTTTAATGTTAGAAACTTTGTCCTTTGAATGGTGAAATGGTTGTAACACTGAAATTATGGATGAGAAAACACTAGTGTGATCACTGCATTACAAAAATTTATAATTTAAAAAGAGTTGACTAACAATGATAGCCTTTGAAAAAGTAAGATTTTCTAAAAACTTGTTAACATATTCTACTTGATTAAAAATGCATCATGATTCAAAATAAGAATGAAGGGGAAGGCTACTAAAACCAGTGGGTAAACATATAATGTAAAATAGAATATTCACATAGTCTCAAAATATCTGCTTACAAATTCCTTATTAATCTCAGGAAGAAAACAGTCAAGTTAGTGGACAAACCTGGCAGATCACAATGAGAAACAAAGTGAAACAAAAAGGTATTAAAAATGGGAAAGAAAACAAGAGACAGAAAGTCTTCATGGGGATTAAGGAAAGACGGGTGATACCCTGCAGTCTCCTTAACTGTAAAAAAGAGGTCTCATTTTCAATCTTATTATCGATTTTGATTCATCAAACAGCATCTTTCATAGTTTCATACACAGTCACCTATACTAATGACTCTCAAGTTACTTGTTTCTAGAATTGACTCTTTTCTAAACTTCAGTTATTATTTGCCAAATGCCACTAGAAATCTTTAGCCTGTATTTCTGCTAATTCCTCACATTTACTCTATCAATGTTATTCTCTTCATCTCTCTCTCCAATCCGACACTCCCCTAGCCCTCTTTCTTAATGAGTAACATTTGTATACACCTTGACCCAAAAGAGAACTTTCAGCCATCTTCAATTACTTTCTCTCATTCATCCCCCTTTCAGTTCAATTCTATTTCAATTTTTAAAATTCTTATTAAATATCTACTATTCACTATGTGCTTCATTATGTGCCTAGGAATAAAATATTAATAAGATACAAATCCTCTAAATTTTCTTTCCAAAATGTGGTTCAAATTCATTCAATCTTCCCATTCCCGAGGCCATAGTCTTTGAATAGACCCTCATTCATTATCTTCTCCATATTCTAACTCATCTATCTGCAGTCACTTCCCTCAAATCCCCAATGGAAATAGTTCTGTTTTTTTCTAAATCTCAGATTTTTCCATCACCCAGTTAAAAATAGCTATTGCATAGTCAATATTAATGCCAAATATAAAGGACTTAGTTAATGACTAGGAACAGTATTTATCTGATAATTAATAGCAAGTTTTAGAGCACATTTATTAAAAATCAGTTTTTTTATGTATAAAGTCCTAATATTGCTTATGGAGAAAAGAAACTAGAAATAAATATGCTCAATACATGTTTTTGTAGGAATTAAACCAAATTTAAAAATGTAAATATTTACATTGGCTCATTTTACTTAACAGTTATAGAAAATGGACTATCTAAGCAAGTTCCCATGTATATATATGCATATATCTATCTATAGTGATTTTTTTTCCATTGTATAGTTCTTGATAGTTCTTTCAACTTTAAAACTTATTTAAACTCAACTCTAATTATAGAGTTATTTTATATTGAAGTGTATGTAACAACATGGATATGAGATAGCAAGGAAGAAAAAGAATTTCTGAAAATACGATGTAGGCATAAAAATATTTATACCTTTTCCACAAATAAATCTTTAATGGAATATCTACATTTGCCTGAAAATGGCAAAAACAGAAGTAGAACCAGGGGAGCACATTCTGATTTGCAGCCATTACTATGTGCAACTATAAGCCATGTATTTACCATTAGACTAGAATGGACTCAAATGCCTGGCATAAAATCTATACTCTTGAATCCATTGTCTTGTAAAATAAAATCATACCAATCTCCATATAAATGTTGGGTGAAATTACTTCATAGACATTGGCATAAAACATTTTGCTTTAAGAATCATAACCAAAATTAGGTCATAATAATTTTAAGATATGTAACCTATAAGAGAAAAGACTCTAAAGAGGCAACAGTGCTATGGTTTCCTGTCATAATCAACTTATATACAAACATACCCTGAACTCATTATCAATAACTGGGTTTTGCTTATGCATTTAAAAACATCTCATTTAAACAGAAAAACTTAAGTTTAAAAGGAAATTTGAGTTCTCATTCATTCCTCTACTATTAATAAAGAGTTTTAAAAGCTGTCCTTTGAAAAGTCAATACAAACATTATTAAAAGGATGATCAAAACTAAAGGCATCAGAAATAATGTACAATTTTAGAATGTTATCTTTCTACTTAAACCAATAATATATATTGTTTTAATCTAAGGAAACACATTTACATTGTGAACTTGTTTTCCCATCAGAAATTTAAAATTATAGTATCTACTTACCAACCCAATACAGTTGCTTAAAGCCACTTTAGTTGTACTACGTTGATCTTGCAAGTATCCTGTGTAATGACAGTTGTCTAAAAAATCATGTTTCCACTGGGGTCCATCTTTCCCCCAATATTCTACTGTAAAATGTTTGGACACAAAATTTGTATTGAGAGTCAAGTTTAGGTGAAAGTGCTTGCCATAGGCTGAAAGTTTAAAAAATAACTTAGATACTGCCTGCTGTGGATCAATAGGGTCCATACTCCGTCTTCTCCTTGAGTGTTTATCATTTTTCACAGTAAAGCTGAGAAAAGCTCCATTTTGATCAACCCTTATTGGAATAGTTAGCTGGTAGTGTTCAAGATAAGTCAGGAATTCCTCTTTGTAATCACAAGGCAGAGAATCCAGAAAAAACACATGGAAGAAAAGAAAATTTAACAGAACAAAGAAGCAGCAATATAAACAACTATGTCAGTTAAAACTATGCATCATTATTATATGTGAGGTATGGACCCAAAAATGTTATATTAAATAAAAATGAAAGAGTTAAAGTTTAAAATCTAAATATTAAGTTTTAACTATTTAATTCTTCAAAACAATATTATTTTGAAATTATTTGTGAAGGACTAGTTCTCTTTTTTAAATTTCATTTTTTAAAACATGGATTCTAAGAACTAAATTCTATAAGAAGTATGAACGTTTTCCATGGAAATAAAAAGCAATGAAAAGTACACCTATGTAAAAAAAAAGAGTTTAGCTCAGACAAAATCTGTATTTGAAAGTTATTCTAAAAAAATTATATAGAATCTCTATAGCCTTGTAGAATCAGTGGGAATGTACAATGCTGTAGCCACTTTGGAAAACACTTTGATAGTTCCTCAAAATGTTAAACATGGAATCACCACATGATCTAGCAATTCTACTCCTAGGTACATACACAAGAGAAATGAAAACACATATCCACATAAAAACCTATATGTGAATGTTCATAGCAACATTATTCATAATAGCCAGAAGGGGAAATAACCCAGTTTTCTATCATTGATGAATAGATACACAGAATATGGTATATCCACATAATGAAATATCATTTTATAATAAAAGGAAAGCAGTATTGATACAAGTTATGACACATAATAACTGTCTTCATAATAAAAATTTCTTTTCTCACATTATAAAAACATTATGCTAAGTAAAAGGAGCCAATCACAAAAAACTGTATATTATATGATCCATCTATATGGCACATCCAGAATAGGCAAATCTCTAGAAAGAGAAGTTCAGAATTAGAGGTTGTCTGGGACAGGGATAGGGATTGTTTGCAGCAAATTTGGGAGTGACTGCTAATGAGTATAGATTTTATTTTTAGAGTAATGGAATATTCTAAAACTGATTTGAATGATGGTGGTACAACCCTGAAAATACTAAAAACCATTAAATTGTATACTTAGGGTAGATTATATATGTGTATTACATTTCAATAAAACTATTTTTTTTAATTTGAAGGACTATTAAACATTTTTCGCATGGGATGTACTAAACATTATTTATCTACCTTCTTTTAATTTTTAACAAATTTTTTTTTCTAATATGGAGCTAAGTATAGAAACTGGTGCTTTATCAGAAATTTAAAATTATAGTATCTAATTACCAACCCAATATAGTTGAATGCTTTATCACTAAGCCAAACCCCAGCCCTCCACCTTCTTTTTAACACCTTCCTTCAGGTAGGTTTACCATTAAGGGAACACAAATGTCTATCTATTGCCTTACTGCCTATATATGGAGTTCATCCCACAAATACAAACTCCCATGAAACTATAACCAAATGGAAATAAATTGAAAGACACTGCCTATTTCACTTTTACAAATAAGAGTTTATAGTAAATGCTATGGCTCTGCTGATCTACTTTGAGATCCACAGTGTTTACATGTGGACTTTTAGACATGTGCAATTTGTAAATCTTGAAAATCTAATTCAATAGCACCAAAAAATGATTTGTTGCTAAGGATTCATAGGAGGAAAATCTGAAATGTGTACCTTTCAATAATTCTATAAGGAATAGACTGATCCATGGAAATCAAAATGACATTTACTTTGGGACCATTTTTGTTAAGATCATTTCTATGACATAAAGTTCAATCCCATTGATTAAAAACTTAAGGATTAGAATTTTAAAAATTTGAATTTATAATTCTAACACTTTTGCCCACATCTTAGACCTTAGATCAGAATTCTTCACTTTGGAAAAGTATTTTTTCATGAATTAAAAGGGTTCTCTATCAGAATTTATCTGCTTTCTTCATCTTCCTTGGATTCGCTTTGAAAATGATCTTGACTACAAACCTTAGCAATGAATGAGCCTATTAAAACTTAGGATTCAGAAGCAGCAGCTTGGAGGTCTATCATTTACCAAGAAAGACTAGTCAACTCTAAAATTCACAGAAAATTAAACAGACTCTTAGTAGGACAACTTAGAACTTTAGAGCTCTTAATGTTTCTAAAACCAGCACCTAAATGACACAGTAGGCCTCTGTTCCTATCATTAGAGTACCTGAGAAAGTGTTCACTCCAACTAAATATTCAGAATTTTTTCTTATCAAATTATTAGCAATATTTTTTTGTCAAGTTTTTGTCAAGTTGCAAAAGCATGAGTCCTACCTTGAGAACTGTATGAAAGTCTGTGGTCGCTATGAAATTCCGATGAAGCCATGACAAGGCTCAAAATCCAGGTCAACGTCTTCCACACAATTTCCATAATTTAGAAAACTGGATGATTTTTGGAGGGCTACCTATGTGCTAAAGAGTCAACACCATACCAAAATCGAAGCATAACAATTTTATTTCTTTAAAACTTCTTTCAAGTTAGTTTTTAGATGTTCCACTGTTTAACAGGTTCTTTTTTCCAACATCCTGCACTTTCTTCTATATCTGGATTCATTTTCTCAATCCGAAATGAAAAAAATAATGATAGTAAAGATTTTCATAAGCAAAGCATTAGGCTGATTAGTTACTAAAGTATGGCCATTTTTTAACCTAGAAAAACAAAAAAAAATTAAGTTAACTGGAAAATATTCTGAATGGAGAGACCTTATACATTATTTAATGCTTGCCAAAAACATAACTGGAAAGTATTTTAATATAGTCAAATTAGACCATTGTTGTTCTTTATAGTCTAAATAAGCATTCACAAGATTAAATGCTGAATTGGAGATCTAAATGGTTAGCAGGATAATGTCACAGCTACCCAACAATCAAAGAATGAAACTGAAGAAGAATTATATTTTTTTTTAAACTTCGAAGATCACAATGAATGGGTACAGTGAGATAACCTCCTTTTCATAAAATAAAAAATAGACTGACTTCATATTCTAATTCATTATATGTATCTGACAAATAGTTTGTGATTCCATTCCTTAACAGGCTTTTTAAGCCCATTCCTATCCAGAGACTGCTGTGTTGCTTTATAAGGCACTTATCATTTATTCTGACAAAGCAGATCTACAAATACAGTGACATTTATCAGCTGTGTGTGAACACAAACTCAACTTCTAAAAAGGTGAACCAAACTTACTGTAACTCTTGACTTTATTTGCAGTCTTATATGACTTATAAGGCAATTCAAATAAGGCAATTCCAACTCTCTAAAATGTAACTGAAAAGAAAAGAAATTTTAAAACTTCACTTCAGGAATCACAACAGATTTGAAGTTCTATCTCATATATTTTACTTTTGACTAAAAACTCACTTAGAATCCATGTATTCACATTTTACTCAGAATACTAACACATTTGGGTCCCTGATTTTCTAGCACACAGCAGAGAAAATAAAATTTAGGAGAAAATAAACCGGGCACATGGCACCCACCTATAATCCCAGCATCTCAGGGAGGCTGAGGCAGAAAGATCTTGAGTTCAAAGCCAGCCTCAGCAACTTAGGAGGCCCTACACAACTTAGCAAGACCATTTCTCAAAATAAAATATAAAAAAGGCTAGGAATGTGACTCAGTGGTTAAACACTCCTGGGTTTAATCCCTGGTGCCATTTAAAAAGAAGAAGAAGAAAATAATCAAGGAATTAAAACCTACCTCACTAACACCAAAACAGTGACAAAATAGGACAGAAGACTACAAAGCAGTTATAAAATCCCAAAGTAATTCAGTTTGGGGTAGAGGCAAATCATTCTGAACATAGTTTAATAGTTTCCATTGTGTATAAAACTGTATTATTGCTCAATAACTGATTTTCATGATACTATTCCTACACCAGAAATAAAATGTTGAATTATTATTGTAATAAGACAAACTATTATTAATAAGATAGGGAAGAACACAAAAGATGCTAGGAAGATTTTTTATCCCAAATCCCTAATATATGGGATAGTAATTAATGCTTACTTCTTATTATATAATTTCTCATTTGAAAACAGAAAAGTAAATGAATTAATAATTAAATGAGTAGTGGTTAAAATAAAATCATTTTAGGCATCTAAAAATATCTATAGTTAACTGGAAAATTAACTTATGTGGAACACTTTATTCTCTATGTTGCTAGAAATATTGGTTCTTTAACATATAAAACAATCACAACTATATAAAATTCCTGACATCTGTCTCTACAAGTTATTAAACTGCTAAGCCTTGAGGAAACTAATTCATTAATCAACAAATATTGTCTTACTATATTTAAAAGATGATGTTATAACAACATCAGAATACAGAAAGGATTAAGGGATATGGAGAAGATTAAGATACAATCCTTGCCCTTGAGGAGCTCATAATCTAAAATAACAGAAGAGCTCAAAGCAGACTGATAAATGCCATAATGACATTATAAAAAGTTGTTATAGGCGATCAGATGAAGGAGATGACTTTTAAGACAGAGAATAATAGATTTAAAAAAAAAAAAGCTTGTGAAAAAAGTAGTATTTGAAATAGGTCCTAAAAATGAACTAAATTTCACAAGTCAGATTATTGGAAGTAATCATTACAAATAGAAGAAATATATTCAGGAAAGTCCAGGTGGCAAGAGAAAAAAATGGAAATAGCAAATGGTATTAATAATAATATAAGTAGTAAATCTGGTTTCTGTGCAGAAGACTAATAGGTAATATCAGGTAAGGAAGTTAAAGGTCAGATCAAAAATAAGAACTTTAAAACACATATTAACTTCTTTCAATCTTAACTCACAACAATTTTGTGACATAGATATTGTACCATGGTAGGGCAGACTCTGATGTCCTCAATGCTGACTTATGATATCCATACCCCCGTGGAATCCCCTACACCACCACTTTGAATAATTTAATTCTAACCAAGAGAATATATTCACATTGAGGGGATATCATTTCTTCGGTTAGATTACAAAAGATTCTTGCTTCCATTTTGCTAGCCAACTCTGTTTTTGTTAGTTTAAAGGAAGCTGCTGTATGAAGACCTAGAAGAAAGGAATTGAGAGCAGCTTCCAGATATCAGTAAGGAACCAAGGCCCACAGTCCAATAGTATGCAAGAGACTGAACCCTGCCCACTGTTATGTGAGCTTAGAAAGAGATTCTTCCCCAGTCAAGCCTCCTGTGGAAACTCCAATCTTTGCCAACGCTTTGATTGCAACCTCATGAGAAACCCTGAAGCAGAAGGCATTAAGTCACTTAGTTTGCGGTTAATTTGTTATACTGTAAATGATAACTAATACAGGCACCAATTTACAGATAAGGAAGTTGAAATTCACAGAGATCAGATTGCCAGAAAACAGGAGAGTCCAGATTCTCACACAAGTCTATCTGGCTCTAAAGCCCGATTTTCTGTATTGTCCCACACTTCCAGTTTGAGGTACTCTAGCTTAAACATTCAATAGTAGTTGTATACAACCAATGTCATATAAGATAGTCATAAATGGTATAGGTTAGTTAATGTGAGTAGTTTTTAGCAACTTTACATACAATTTTTCATCTCAAATTTACTTCTACAATGACTAAATCATACTTTTTAAGGTTTTTCATTTATAAAGAGATTAAGTCTAAGTCACATTATTATTCAATAACAATAGTGAAAAGAATCTATTTACCTTGGTTTCCAATCTACTTACATACAGTATCTATCCTCTAACCATAACCATGAGATATTAAGATATAATTACTTCATTAAAATATTCACTCTTAGTATTTCAGTTGTTTTCAAATCACTAGAATGTCATAATATCTGACATTAAATGAACCCTTCATACACTTTAAAGTATTATCTTCCTTTAAAGAGGTATGTATAATTGGTATATGTGAATTGATTTTCTAGTAGAGGTTACAGATTTGTTCTGAATCACTCATCCCTTTTCTCCTGTTTCCCTGGACATTGAAACTAATAACAAACTTATAATCTAGTTGGCTAGATTAAGGGAATAACTATTTTTCCCTTTGTGAAATTCCTGCTCTTTTCAGCTGCAAGGGGGTCACCCTTACCCTTCCTAAAACTGTACTGTAAACACACAAGGTAATTAAGCCAGTAGCATTAAGAGAGAGGGAAACAAAAAATAATGTGTAACTATTTTGCCAGAAGTAGACTAACATGATTTAAGATTTTAGTAAAAAGGATATTGGTGCACAGAACGAATAGGAGCTCTGTAATTAAGCAAACGAGTTAAGGTCTTGGTTCCATGGCTAGCTACAGCATCTGGTACATGGGCACTCAATAAATTTGGGGGATTTTTCTCCTTCTCACTTTCTCCCTCCTTACTTTCTTGCAAGCCTTCAATGCTCAATGAATGACCTTAACACTATTAGTTAGCTATAACTGACCTAAAATCAAAACTAACATATCTAACCAGTCTTAAATGAGTTAACCTACTTTCTAACACCTGCTGGGGAGGTTAATCTACACATCATAAACAAATATGTACAAGCTCTGACTTTCTGGATATGGTTTCCAATGTTCAGACTAACACAAAACACTAGACAATCGTCCAGAAATCATAATACATTAACCCTAATAATGCAGAAGCATTATTAGGTTGTAGAAAGTACAAAGGCTTTGAGTCCTGGCTTGACTCCAAGTTACAGACCTCTGTGGATTTGTCTTCACATCTGTAAAATCATGATAATGATATCTACTTTACAAAGGCTTGTTGAGAGAATGAATTAGGTTACAGCTGATGTAAAGTGCATACTTCACTTTAATGGCTAAATAAGCTTTAGCTCTCATTATATAGCATCATTTTTCAAAGGCCATCCTCAAAAAGTTTCATGTTCCTCTTTCCCCTAAAAAATGTGAAATAATTGGATATCATGATAAAGTCAATCAACTAGGATGAATTGTCTTTTAAAGAAAGAAAACAGTAAAAAACTTAGGTTATGATAACTGTACTCATAACTATTTTAATTTTGAAAACACTATCAAAACTTTATTTTACTTTGATTCATATATACTCTTTTACATCATTCAAATGCACCAACCAGTAAAGCTAAGGAATCTTTTACCTGCTTCCATGGATTAAATCTACACTACCAAACCAGAAATAAGATCAAATAACTTGCTCTACAGTGATTGCCTCAGTAGTCTGACCTGCTTGAAGGATATTACTTGACTTTTTCCTCTATTATCTTTACTTCCCATTCAAGTGATCTGGGATTAGCCAAGGTAATAATTTCCTCTCAAGAACTATTATTATGGAGCTAATGAACATGTGTGACATCCTTCTTGACTTCTTTCATTCATCTTAACTCTGGTTATTTTATTCTGGAAGAAGCAACAATACCATGCAACTTTCAGGTATCTAATTTTCATAGTGAAAATCAACCTCTCATTCACTTTCCATTTATTCTTTCAACAAATATTTATCACCTTCTATATGCTAAGGATACCATTATGTTCTAAAGTATAAAGGTTTTCAGAAAATGTATAAACTTTGTGAGAACAATCTCCAAAAAATGGTGTTATTAACCACATGAATTACTCAAAATTTTATCTAGTAAGAAAAGCAAATAAACCAAAAGAAAAACACAAAACAAAATTTACCAAAATCAAGCCCTAAATTACATATAGTCTCAAACTTTTTTCCCAGATAACAAGGTAAATATATGTTATCTACATTATAATTTTTTCCCTAAAAAACAGAAACAAGGCTTTTTCTCTTGAGGTTAGCTCAAAATGTTGAGAATCAACTTTGTCCTTTGGTAGAACTAAGACAGTTGTCCACATCTACCCCTTCCTCCTTGCATCCCCATCACCACCAAATATTCCAAATATGCTATTAACTCTCCTTAATATGTTAACTCTCTTCATTGTGTCACTAACATCACAAACAGGACAAGATTTGACAGAGAGGCCCATCTTCAATCACTAGTAGCTACTAGTGGGTGATAAGGAAATGAAAAGGAAGTGGTAAGACTAGATAAGTGTAGAAATTAATCTTATAGGTACAAGGGAAGTATTTACAGTATTTCAGGTCTTACAGTTGGAAGGTTTTCCTCTTGGGAATCACAAAAATATTAATATAACTGCACAGATTTAATTTGCTGCCATTTGTAACAAATGAATTTGATTTGTTTGAACTCAATTTATTTGTCGTTCTTCAAAAATGTCAAACACCAATGATCATGTTTTAAGTGCAAAATTAATATAAACTGGACTGCAGCTAACAATTTGGTGAAACACAGAAAAACAAAATTAATTGTCTAATTTTCCGTCAATGACACCAGTTTTATACTACATTTCTTTCCCTGTCATGAATTCAAAGGACTACCATTCCCACGTCTTGAAGTTTCAGTCTAATCAACATAAGCTAAAAAGAGAGAGTGTCCAAAAAACCTGAAAATAAAAGAATATTTTGAAAATTATATTCAGTGTCTTTTTTAAAGTTCCAAGCAATGGTTCAGTTTCCTTTTTTCCTTTCCCTGCTCTGTACCCCCCACCCCCATTCCACTTCATCCAGACAGAGGGTAACAGTCTGAGCTGCCCTGGTTGAGTTGATCCTAAAGTTAACATTCAGCAGCCCATTTCCAGACAGCAGCGCTAAATCTATTTGGATAAAACGCGTGTGACCCAGACAGTTGGCATTTGGCCCAAACGCTTGCACCGGCAGCTCAAATAAAAACAAGAGTAAGAAACTCACTCTCTTGTTCCCTCTCAGTGCGCTTTCTCACCCTCTTGCTCTCTTTGCCTCTACTTTGCTCTCTTCTAACTAGGGAAGAAATTATCAAAGACAGAAATTGTAGCACTGATTATCAGAAAGAGGCTTTCCAATACTCCCTCCAGTACTCTTGCTCTCTCTCTCTCTCTCTCTCTGCAATCCCTGAACTTTGGTCCCATACACATGTATACAGACATACCCCGATAAACAAGGCTCCAGAGGGTTGAGTCTAGCACGTCCCAAGTGGCCAAAAGTAAATCAAAAACACACGCTTCCATCTCTTTGATTAGCCTATTAAGAGCTTAACATATCCTAAAGCATCAGGGCTACAGCTAGCACATTATTGCTACCCTCTGAGCCCAGGCATAAAATATGCACTTGTCTGAACACTTAAGACACTGACATGAAACTATAAAATGAAAAGGCTTTTCTTTAGGAAAACTGGAAATCAATTTAAAACACACACATCATTATTACTTTCTCCATCACTATTTGGTGAATAGTTAAAGGACCACAATAATTATAATCAAGTCTACTTGACAAAACATGTATATTCATATAGTAAACGTATTTTGCATGACAAAATACTTGCAAGTCCCAGAATTCTACAACGCCCCCAGACACTAGTCTAGAGTTAAAAAGATTTCTATCTGTAAAATGAGTTCAGTCAAGCTCACTCCTTGCCATAACACACACACACACACACACACACACACACACACACAGAGAGAGAGAGAGAGAGAGAGGGGGAGAGGTTTTCTAAGCGTTATTCGGAAGACAAGCAAAACACAAGTTTAAAAAAAAAAGGTTTCATTGAATATTGTGAAGTCTTCCTTACCGTTTTCATCTTCAAATTCTGATAAAAAGTAAGTTTCAAACAATAGACATTTGCACTGGACGACTCACGTACTCCCTCTCCTCTACTAACTTTTTTTTTTTTTTTTTTTTTTTTTTTTTGCCTCCCCCCTCCTTTGCAAAGCCACACCAGCCAGTTATTCTGCAGCCAGAATAAAACCTTATAGTCTGGCTAACCCGGGCTTTAGAGAACGGACTTTCCGATTTGGCAGAAAAAGAGATGCCTTCAATATATCCAGGCTATCAACCTGAGATATGCCTTTGCAAACCCCCTTTCTCTTCCTCACCGCCCCCCGCCCCCCAAAAAAAGAAAGGCAAAAGAAAGAAAGGGGGAAAAGACTTATTGGGGGTGGAAGTGGTGCCTTCTCTTCCTGGACAGCTTAGTGCCTTTGCTATGCAAATAACATGTGCAGAGCATCAAAAGGTATCAGGAGAAAAGAAGACAAGAGGAGCAGGAAGGGCAGCAAAGTTTTGTTGAAGTAGCCCTAGATCTCACTACCGGCCCCCAGCCAACTTGAATTGGAGAAGAAAATTTTGGCAGCTTTTTCCTCAGAGGCAGAGCACACTGACGTCAGTCTGCAGATGTGCCTGGGCTGCGTCGGGTGCGCATGTGTCCTGGGTCGTCACGTGGAGGGGGAGGGGAAGTAGAGGTACAATCGGGGTAACAAACTACCAGCCATTCAGAAGGGCTTAGACAATGTCAACTTTTCCACCCTGTGAATGAGAGAAATTCTGGCCCCTCTAACCTCTCTCCCCTAACCCACTCCGCCTCTTTTCCTCCTCCTCTAACCTCTTAGAAATTCTAACCTAGTGTTTCTTGGAAAAAGGAAAGGGGGAGGCAGAGGATGAGTGATTTTAGATGAACTAATGTCACTGTAAAGATCTTCGGTGTTATTCACTATTTAAAAAAAAAATTCCTACAGTAAAAAAATGATAAAAGTTACACATAAACATTGCCTTTGAGGAAACACAGCAAACTTTAGATCCGTAAAGCAGACAGATTTCAAGACTTGGTAGCTACATGTGTTCAAAACGCCTGTGTTTTATATATACTAAAACAAGTAAGGTTACCACCAAAAAAGAAAGTAAACTAAGACCTGCACATTTTCCATCTGATTATCGACTTCAGGTTATGTAGGGCTTTAAAAGAAAAAAAAAAAAAAAAAAGGCAGGGAGGAGGGAGCGGGGGAAGAAAGAAGCTTGCATTATTTCCAGATGAGGGTGAGACTGGATGGTGTTTTAAAGTGCAACCAGGGAAAGCTACAAGTGTCTTTTTTTTTTTTTTTTAGGTCAGTACTAAAATGAATGAAACTTCAATGACTGCCCAAATGAAAATAAACAAGAAATCAGACTCCCTCCACCCCCACCCCCCCAAAAAAAAAGGTAAGGGGGGGAGAGACCCTGCTGAGATCTCAAGATAAACAAACAAAACCTCAGAACTGGTTCTTCAAGCTTTCAGATCTCTCCCTCCTACCCCCACCCCCATACACACCAGCTGCCAGTCCAGCCTTTAAAGATAAAATACCACTACAATGTAGCACTTTCACTTTCATTTGCTAGGAGAAAAACCCAGGCTTTAAACTGGGGAAGAAAATGCCCAATGTATTTTTCATGTCCTAAGTAAGCAAACAGTCTGGCACACAAATCAGAAAGAGGGGGAAAAAAAAAAAACGTGAAAATAGCTCAGAACAAATGTTGCCTTTCAGTGGTGTGATCTGCTGCATCATTTATCGTCTCTACAGTGGAGTGCAGGGTAGGGAGCTGTTTTAAGAGTTTCCGAGGCTGGGGGGAGGGGAAAATTGACGCCTTGAAATTCCAGTCTTTAGTTAACGCCAAGTCAATTTCCGATGGCCAGAACCAGCAAGGGGAATTGGACCAGAGGGAAGGGGAGAGGGAGGAGGACCTTTCTAAATACTGGCTCTTAAATTTCTAGCTCCTGCTAACATTATTGCCCATTTGATTTTTTTTTTTTTTCCTCTTCCTACGCCGGAGGTAGTAGGTGTAATTCTTTTGATGAATCCATGAATAGTTGGCTAAAAGAAGGCATGAATCAGACTGAATATCCAATAACAAACAGTCAACCTTCTTTGAGGGTTGAAAGGGGAAAGCATCTGTCCACACAGCTAATAGTCTCATCTTGACCTTAATCAGTAGTATCTGGCTAAATGCCACATAAAACATAGGAATTTGTTCTGTGGTTGAAATCAACAATTTAATATAAAAATGGTTCATTGGTGTGTGTGTGTGTGTGTGTGTGTGTGTGTGTGTGTGTGTGTAAAATATGAGGTGGCTAAGTCTCATAATAATTTTAAATAGCAAAAATCATAAGAGTGAGCACAGAGCTGGTTTTGCATAGAATCACCTGTTAAACAGACAAACTAAACTTTCCTTAAATTTCCAAGAACTGGCAGTAGATCAGTGCAGCCAGCACAGAAAAATGAAGTTAGGGTGTCAGTAGTAATCATCTATATAAGCTACCTGAAAAGTTTTTACTTTCATATAAGATAAACTGCCCTAGGAAGTGGCAACAATTGTAAAGGAGCATATTCAGAGAAAGGAACTTTGGCTAATTACTTATTCAAAGAGTGCCATCCTGCGTCTAAACAGAGTAATGAAAAATTTACAACAGATTCCTTGTCTCTACATGATTAAGAACTATAAGGATAAAAAATTATTAGTGTGAGTAATGATGATAATGTCAGTTTTATATATATGTGTGTATGTGAACACTTTAGTTGTATTATAGAAAACTTCAAAGATATACAAAAGTAGGAAAAGTATAATGATCACCAATGTAATCAGTATTGCTAAGTTGCTGAGGCTGTCTTTAAACTTGCAATCCTTCTGCCTCAGCTTCCTGCCTATAATCTTTTATCTGTTTTTCAAGTAAACTTTTGATTGGTGTAGAATATTCATTTAGAAAAAAATGGATAAATAAGTACATAGCTTGATGATAAGCGAGAATTCTAATGACATTTCACAAGGTGAACTTGACCATGTATCCATCATATTTTTAGTCTCTTTATATTTTTCATTTTATTTTAACCAACTACTAAAAATTACATATATTTATGGTGTACAACATGATATATATGTATACATACATGGTGGAATGACTAAAACAAGCTATTTAGCATATGTATCACCTCACATATCGTTTTTTGTGTGGTGAGAACACTAAAAATCTATTTTGCAATTTTCAAGTGTTCAGTATGTTGTTATTATCTATAATAACCCTGATGTACAATAGATCTCTTGAACTTAATTCTCTTAAGTGAAATTTCATATTCTTTAACCAACATCTCCTCAATCCCCCTACATCCCCCAAAATGTTTGTTTTTAATCTATTGGATCCCCCTCATGTTTTCTCTTGCTTTATACATCCTTTATTAATATCTTGCCATATTAATACTATATTTAGCACTTCTAAGAGCAAGAAAATGTTTTTGTGATAGAACCATATATCATTTTTTAAATGAAATAGATGAAACAAACTTTAATTAAACTCTGAATGAATTATAATTGCACTAGAAATTCTTTTTTTAAATTTTTAAAAAATATTTATTAGTTGTTTAGTTATAGGTGTACACATATCTTTATTTTATTTGTATGTGGTGCTGAGGATCGAACCCAGTGCCTCACGCATGCTAGGTAAACGCTCTACCTCTGAGCCACAATTCCAGCCCAGTAGAAATTTTTTAAAATCTAAAATGCTTTAAAATTTTTAGTGATCTTCTTCTTTCAAATATTTTTTTCTACCTCTCCTTTTCTGATTTTATTTAATTGCAAGATAGAAGATTATGAGGAGAATACAGTTAAGAACAAACACCCTAGATACACCTAAAAAAAAAAAAAGCTTTGCTGACAGTCTTTAGATACCTTATAAACTTAATAAACAGAGGCCATTTAGAAAACTAAAAATAAATGAATATAAGTTGGGAGAGGAAGAAATATATATATTTCAAAGACTGAAACATAGAAGAAAAGGCAGAAAAATTTGAGAGCCAGGGACTGAAGAACTTGTAGAGACAAAGAACAGAGACTCTGAATTTTTAAAACATTAACATGTAAATTAAATTTAAAAATTTAAGTTAAAAGCCACAGTATTTCTTAAAATTAAACTGGTTGTATTTTCAGAAGAAAATGGGATAATTCTCATCTTATGCTTGCTTAGAATTATTAAATTGCAGCAAGTAACCATCTCTAAGGTGATGAATTATTTATTCTACCTCTGAGACATGAAAACCAGTATCAACACATTTTTAAAAAAATTCCATACACTTGCTATACTTTTATTCTTTCATTAAAGTGGATTTCAATTTGATACAGTGAAAAGAAACATTTTCAAAAAAAAAAAGAAAGAAACTAAAAAAAAAAAAAAGAAACATTTTCTAATATTTTAAAAGACTATTGTAGGATATCTTAAATAAATACAAAGTTGCAAAGCATAAAGGAAAAGATTGTTGTTTTCACATTATTTAATGAAATTTAACAAATTATTAAAAAATGAAAAGTATAAGAGAGAATTAAGGGGAACTTTGCTATAAAATTTCTGGAAATATTTTAATACTGAAAAGAAAGAAAGCAGAATAAAAGAAGAACTCTTGTGTAAATATCCTCTACTTTTTTTTCAGCATTAGTAATTGTCATAAAAAGTGCTTAGAACTTCTGCAGCCATGTTGCTACAATGAAAGAAAGACTAACAGAATCAGAGAAACCACTCAGCGCATCAATATTATTAAGCCATTAAATCAACTAAGGAAGTGATATGACCAAAAAAAAAAAAAAAAACCTGTTATTTACATACAATTGGGTCTGCTGTTTTATTATTTGCCATTGAAGGCATTCTGTAAACCATACAAACTAAAGTAGTCCCCCAAGAATTCAATTGTATACTGTCTCACTGCACATTCTGGTAGCAATTATAAGTAGGTGGTATTTTTCTTGTTTATCACACCAAGTCTCAATACTCACAAGTTACTACATATAATAATAGAACTCAATATATAAATAAAATCTGAAGAGATAAATTTATAAGATTAAAAACAGCAAATGCAGGGAATGTAGGTCAGTAGTAGAGCATTTGCCTGGCATATGTAAGGCCCAGGTTCACTCCCCAGCATGGAAAACAACAACAAATCACATGTAATGGAAATATACAGGAAGTCTAGATAAAGTAGTTATCAAACATAGACTTAAAATAACTATGTTTCAAAGATAAGACCAAGAATTTCAACAGAAAAATATAAGCTAAAGAAAAAACAGATTCTAGAATCAAAAAAAAAATTATTAACTAGCATTAAAACTCAAAGTATAAATGTAATAATAGATTAGACAAATGAAAAGAGAACAAACTGGAAGAGGTCTCAGAATAAAATATTTAAAAAGAAGCTTGAAGATAAAAAATGAATGTAAAATATAGAAAAGATTATAAGAGATGTATGAGTGGGAAATATAGAAAAAAGGTCTAAAATGCAATTGGCTTTTCCATGAGGAAGAGGGATTAGGGCAGAAAAATATCTGCAGAGATAATGGCTAAAAATTTCCATTGAGAAAATCTAAAAAGA